CATATAATGTATTATTTGTTTCAGAGGTACAGGTCTGTGATTCAACAGTCTTACACAATTCACAGTGCTCACCATAGCACATACCCGCCCCAATGAGACAGCTATTTCTGATACATGGCATTCCTCTCCAAACAATAGCCAGAACTCACTCCTAACACATGTGAAGACTCAGCTTTTCGTTCTCCGAAGTTGAAATCTTACCAAAAAACCGAAATGCTTATTGTAAACTCTACCAAGGAGATGAAATTATCAAAAGGGTAAGTCTTTGTATTTCTTTAGTCTTAAATTTCTGGGATGAGCATCACCAAGTATGACTGCATTCATTTGAAAAAATAATAATGTGATAAAAAATCATTCATATGAAATTAATTTTATAATTATCTTATCAATGGTTACCTTTTAGTTTATTATTTTTTACATATAGTTATTAAAAGTATGTGAGTACTGTATTATTACTTCAGTCACTTTAGGATAAATTAAAGAAATCAACTAAAAAGTTCTGTCCTATCTCATTTATGTAATAGGTAATTTATAATGTGTCAAGAGGAAACACTTGTCTACTAGTCTGTGCCTTAGAAATGTCATTCTGGGATCGGTGTCATACTGACACTACATTTTACATTAGTAATTACTCTGTTAAATACTATTGAACACCGAATGATTTTTTTTCATAGATAATTTAAAGTTGGAGTCCCCTGAATAATAATCTCTATACTTACAGAGGGGTATACTAGAGAAAATGATGCTGAAAGTAGCATTTCACAAATGCTAAATATAGCTATTCCCCCAATTCAAATACTCTTGTATTTTAAAAAAATTTATTGATTAAGAAAATAAGCATTTATAAGTTTTCAGAACTATAAGCAATTCATTGACTATAGGAAGAATTAAAGTAGATTTTGTCAGAGATTGCTTAAATTACTGTGTTTGGCATAGCAAAGCAAAGATGATAGCTTCTTAAAGGACTTATCTATCCCCTGACATCCCGAGTCTGCCGTAGGTACTTCTAGGCTTGTTTTGAAGAACTGAATTAATAAATACTTCTTAAACCAGGGCCTAACACATAATCTGTGCCCAATAAATATAAGTTGTTATTAGTAGTAGTAGTAGTAGTAGTACTCTATGTTGAATCAGAGTTGGCAAAAAGTAGGATTAGAAACAAAATTCAAATTTTATGTTAAATATATCATCACTTAAAGCAAATGAGCATCATCCACAAATTTCTTTCTCTAATGTGCTTTTGTAATGCATAGAGAGACCAAGGGTTGTTTTTTTTTTTTTTAGCATTACTACAAAAATATCAATTCCACATGCTGAACTTTTTAATTCTTGATTTTTCTGCATGTATTATCTGAAACAGTTATGCACCTACTTTCGAACCTACTTATAATAGAAGATGTACTCAGGTCCAACATTAGCCTTTGCTTTCACCTCTTCTGCATTGTGGTCCAATTCATTTTCCAGCCAACACCAAAAACAATCAAGGTAGCAAGCCAACTTTCACTTCTTACATCTTGTTTCAGTTCTCTAAATCCTAATCCTGCACATATGTAGTTATAACTCTGATTCAGGAATTGAGGATTAAATAGCTTCCCAACATTTTGGGGTAGAAACAGAAGTGAGATGATGCAATCATCGTGAATGATGTAAGAAGTTGCTGCTGGGCAGACACTAAGCCCTGCAGACAAGGGTGAATCAGATTGCAGGTTTAAGACTAAGTTCACCAGAACAAGGAGCAGCTGACACCTAAATTAAGGGTTCTCTTTAGTGCTTTGGGGACCACCAGTGAGTGGTTGGGACCCAGGCAGAATGAAATAGAAAGACAGCGCTCAGTTCCAATCCAACTATTTTCTGAACAGGAGGCATGAGGCAAGTTTCTAGGTTCTCCCTGTTATTTCATCTATAAAGTGGAGACAATAGTATTCATTTAGGAGGTTGGTGTGAGCTTTAGAAACAAAGCCCAGTGTCTGGCACACAGCAGCTGATCAACAAATGACAGCTAAATGGATCCGGGTCATAAAAACAGTTTACACCTTTTTTTTTTTAATTAATTAATTAATTTTTTTTGATGTAGTGTTCCATGATTCATTGTTTGTGTGTAACACCCAGTGCTCCATGCAGAACGTGCCCTCCTCAATACCCATCACCAGGCTAACCCATCCCCTCACCCCTCCCCTCTAGAACCCTCAGTTTGTTTCTCAGAGTCCATAGTCTCTCATGGTTCATCTCCCCCTCCGATTTCCCCCTCTTCATTTTTCCCTTCCTACTATCTTTTTTTTTTTTTTTTTTTTTAACATATAATGTATTATTTGTTTCAGAGGTACAGGTCTGTGATTCAACAGTCTTACACAATTCACAGCGCTCACCAAAGCACATACCCTCCCCAATGTCTATCACCCAGCCACCCCATCCCTCCCACCCCCCACCACTCCAGCAACCCTCAGTTTGTTTCCTGAGATTAAGAAGTCCTCATATCAGTGAGATCACATGATACATGTCTTTCTCTGATTGACTAATTTCGCTAAAAAAATATTTACACTGCTCACAATCCTCACATAGAATAAATCTTATTTTAAAAGGATAACTATTTATGGGTATGTATTTTTTATTTTAGTGGCATATTTCCCCAAAGGGAGTATAGATCACAATCCTTCACTCACACCATTATTTTCTAGATTCTTCCCCACTACATCCCAATAAATCCTGAAAGTCATGAATATCTTCCTTCCAAAAACCAAAGTTCTGTTTCACTTTATGAAGTCCCCCTTTAGGCTTTTTTCCCCCCCCTAAAGCATGATATTTTTGACTTAAAGACAAGCAGGAAATACTACAAATCTCATTAGTGAAATCATTCTTGTCCAGATTTCAGTTAAAATTTGCTGACTAAAATTCCGGAGGCTTGGATAAGACTCAAAGACGTATCTGAGGGACACTGGGCTGCGGAATCTCTTAGTGCTTGTCTATGCTCCTGAGGGACACTGTCATAGCACTGGCTGATGAGGAAAGCATTTTCTGCAGCCGGAGCTGGAGTCGCTCGCTGTTCCACCCGCATCACCCCTTTCCTCCAGGCAGCTGCTGAAGGCAGGTAAAAAGTAACCTGTGTTCTGTCCTGTGGCTTCCAGAAAGCCAGAAAACAAGTAAAACTCGGAAGAGTCAAGAGAATACAACCCATAAACAGATTCCCTTAAAAAAAAAAAAAAAGCCAACTGAAGCCATTTCAACATTTTTTTAAGTTTTTATTTTAATTCCATATATCGCCCTCTGCTCATCGCCACAAATGCCCTCCTTAACCCCCATCACCTATTTCCCCCAACCCCCCACTCTCCTCCCCTCTGGTGACCAGCAACACTGCTCTCTGTAGTTAAAGTCTGTTTCTTGGCTTGTCTCTCTCTCTCTTTTTTTTTCCTTTGCCTTTTGCTCGTTCGTTTTGTTTCTCAGATTCCACATATGAGTGAAATCCTATGATATTTGTCTTCCTCTCACTGACTTAGAGACCACCTCAACTTTGACAGAGTTTTCTCTCATCCATGTCAGCATGCACAGAAAAGACCCGGGTTGTCCTAAGTCATCTTTTCTCTTCCTTGGTCATCTACGTGAATTTAGTTTTGTCTCTTTCCATGCTTTCTGTCCTTATTTTTAGACATGGTTATAAATATTAATCACTCTGATACTATGCCCCAATACTAGGAAGGCCCCCCGCAGACCAACACAAAACATAATAACTGAGCAGACTTGAGGCATAATTCCTTCTCTGAGTTTATGAATACACAGTGAGGTCAGATTGCTTTTCTCCTGTCAGTCTCGGTAACAATAATGGAAAGAAAATGGTCAACTGCTGCCTCTACTGAAAGGAGACCATTAATAAATGTTAAACTTGGCACCCAACTATTGCAAGAAAGATTTCATTACAGTGGAGCAGTTCGTGCTTTGGTCCTCAGGGAGGGAGGAAGAATAGAAAAATGCATTTCACAAGGTTGTGCTGAATAAATGTGTGTTACTTCTTTTCTCCAAAAAGACATTGCAATAAACATCTGCAAATTCAATTAAAAATAATAATAACTTACAGGAGAAACATGGTCTGGTTAATAAAGAGTATCACCCAAAAAAAGAAAAAGAGGCCAAGGTGGGGACACGCTCTATCCATCGTATTGGTTCACACACTCTCCCCTTTAACAGACGAAGTCACTGAGGCTCAGATGCTTCCCAGCATCAAAGAGCTGAGACCCAGGCAGTGTGGCTCCAGGGTTGACTCCCTTTACTCCTGCACTCTGCTGCCTGGGGTCTAGTCGACTGGAATGTGTAGGCAGCACTGATGCTGCAGCTGCTAACGTGGTGCTCCCTCAACCACTTGCCCCAGAAGCACCTGGAAGGTGGACAATATGCAGCTTCCTGGGCCCCATGTCACCTCTACTGATCCAGCATCTCTCGAGTTTGTGCCCACGCATCTTCATTTTAACAAAGCTCCCCAGTGATTAATAAGCACCTTCACATTGAAGAACCACGGCACTGTCTTCTTGCCATAAACTGACCACCTGTCCACACATGAGGCTGAATTTCTAAATAATTCTTTTCATTGGGCTCCACCATCATTTGTCAGTCAGCAAACATTCGTTGAGACTCTCTTCCTTGGAAGGTTCCATGTGAATCTCTTTGGGGGTTGGGGAGCATAAATACTCGTAAGACATTCCCGATTTTCAGCCATTTGCCCCTATAATCCATTCTCCACACAGCCTTCCATTTGCTTTGTTCATGGTACTTACTAAAATTTGTATTTATCTGTTTGTTTTCTTGTGTATGTCTGTTTTCCCCACTGGACTTTAAGCTCCTTGTAGACAGGACAGGACTGGCTTTGGTCACCATTGTGTCCCTAGGACCTAGCATAATACCTCACACACATATACCAGCCACCATGTTGAATGAATGAATGAATGAATGAATGAACAAAAAATAACAAATGAATGCATTTCTAGTCTTGTAGGGGAAGTGGGACATAAATGTATGTAGCTATTATAAAGTAGTAAACAAATAAGAGAAATGCAGATAGAAATGGTTAAGATTGCACTTCAGCTGTATGAAATTTTGGGAATTCCAGGTACAAGGAATGGCATGGGAGAAAGTATTTGATAAAGATGAGAAAGCCAAAACTCTTCTGTTAAGCCTGCAAAATGCATGAAGGGGAATAGCATTCAGGGAACAGACAACAGTCTCTGAATGCCAGGCAAAGGTGTTTTCTTAATTATTTGATAGGAAATAAGCCACTAAGGGTTTTTGAACATGGTAAGTCATAGGATCAGAGCTCTATTAATCTGGTAGCAGCGTCAGGGTGAACTGGAGGAAGGGAATTCTGGAACAGGGGCCTGAGGATGCTTTTTCTCCCTGCTCATTTCTGCTCCTAATCTCTCTGTTTCCCAAGTGTGGATCTCAGAAGCTACAACAAATACTTTCATCTCAAGCAAACATTCGTTCTTTCCATCTTCACAAGCCTACGAGAACAAATGCTTAAAAAGCAAACACGTCATGGAAAGAATACCAATTAGTCCTGAAATCCTGTACAGCCTGGGAGTTTGAGAGACAGGAAGCCAAAAGGACGTGGTTTCTGAGCTGCTCTTGACTCGCCCCTGCTCGTGGTAAGAGCTTTTACTTCCTTTTCTCCTTTTTGACTTCCGTGATGCTGATGCAAAAACTTTGGCTTCAGGTTAGACCTGTAATACCTGACTGTCATGGTCCCCTTGCCGTGTCCAAGAACATCACCTACGGATTGTGACATTTTCTACTCTGAGCCCAGATCAAGTCTCAGAATCCTTCTGGAGACTGTTACAACTGATGGAAGAAAGCTGGCTCCTGAGACAAAACCTATTTGCCATTGCAGGGGCACATTCCCACCCCACCCCCCCACCCTTTGTAACATCTGTTCAGGACTGACTCTATCCTGATGTCTATAATCACATGTGCCATCTGCTTCTAAGCTAAACTAAACAGAAATAAAATCATCACAACCTTACTTACAACTTTCTTTTCTTTTCCCGTCATTACCTGTCAGGTACGTTTGCTCGTGAATCTCCGTGATACTCAAGAGTTCAGCACTCTGTTGCTGGCAGCTTCTCCTCGCCTGGTGCCAAGTTAAAGCAGATTTGGAGTTTATCTGGTAGGAAATGCCAGTCAGCGGGTCTTTATTCCATAAGCTTTCACTGCCCTCGACTATAAAAAAAGTCAAATGCGATTGGCTACATTAGGCATAGAAGAGACTTTCAGGGAAAAATATTTCTTAAACGATTCTAGTAGCATTTCTGCCTGAAGTGTATTTGTTTTCTTTTCTTTTCTTTTACTTATTTTTGAAGTGCCTATGAGATTTTCTTCGCTCTTCTGATGAAGAGGGGGAGTTTTCAAAATATCGACTGGCATCTCATTCTTTTCACATGCCTAAGAAAGGAAAGAGAGGCATTGTCTCCCTACTTTTGTGTTGGGATGTTTGGGATCAATTGAGTTGGGAAGTGAGGCAAATGCAAATACTAAGAATAGGGATGTCAGCCCAAATTCCTTAATCTAGAAAAAAATATAGGGTAAAGAGAATGTATAAATCTTCTCTCAATAAGCGGATATTTTGCCTGCACATTCTAGTTGGGTCTTTTTAGACCAAAGGCATGGGCGTTAGAAGGCAAAGTCATGGACTCTACCACCAACCAGGCTAACCCGGACCTACATCCAGGCACCATCACTCACTACTGCTTTGTCCTTAGTTCTTAAGCCTCATTTTCCCACCTCTAGGATGTATTAAATCTGTGTGGCCCTAGGCAATCGAAGAAGCTGATTGTTAGTTTTTCTTCCTTCAGAATAAAAAATAATTCTTTGAGCTTATTTTTGCCTTTGCTATTTTATGATTCCCAATACACTCTATAAACTTAGTTATACCTTATGAAAGGCCAGTAGTATTGATGGATAAATATTATTTATAGTGTGTTCCCTATAAGGTGTTTGGGAAATGAGTCAACAAATCAAGTATTTCTGTGTGCTTCGTGTTATAAAAATGTCCCTTTTCTCTTTTTAACAATATAAAATTCTACCTACAAATCCTAGGGAGCAATAATTTCTTCACTTACTTGTGAAGAAAAGAAGGAATCATGTAACTTCTCAGATTTTCTGATAAGTGTTCAACTTGCCAAGAAGTTGGCCAGTTTCCCGTAAGCATATAACCTATGGCATGAATCTTTGTATGTGACCTTTTTCATCACACACCACATACTATGATATGAAACTTGTGGTTCCATGGCACATCAAAGAGGAAGAAAAATAAATCAAAATTCCATTCAGGCAACAACATAGAAATTTCTAAGATGTTTTCATTATAAAATTGCTATATATTTACATAAAAATAAATTTGAATTGGTATAATGTTCAATTTAAATGATCGTGATCTGAGATCTTAGTAGTTCCATATCCAAAAGTATTCTTCTCCACATTAAGTGAGATCACTCAAATGAGACTGATTTGAGGGCTATTTGAAGATGGAGATGTTTTAAATACATATTTTTTAGAAATTTGGAGGTCTAATATGGTAGAAAATGTGAGACACAGATACACACATAAAAGGGGGGAGGGTTATTTTTTTGCCCAGGAATGGAGGAGAGAGATATACATGACCAAAGAAGGAAATGCTATTTGACTCTTCTCTTCATTTAAAGAAAGTATATTTTGCACTTTAGATCAAGGAATTAAAATCGATTTCTCAATGAATGTATAGGTTTGCTAACTCTACACCTCCCTGGATTGTTCAAATTCCTGCAGTAAACCAGCATAACTAATGTGGAAAGCTAAAGTTGCAAGCTATGGAGAATTGAGAGAAAGGGTCTTTTCCTTTTCCTGTTCTCATGATACTTCAAAATAAATGTCTAAACAGAAGGAAAACATTACAATAAACAATGCAAAGGACAATGAAGAGTGAAATTATTAAAATGTCACTAGGTCAATAACTGGTAGCTCATCTTCCTGTATTAAGCCTGCTAGTTTAAGGCTAATATAAAATAGTGTTCTTTTGAAAGGAACACAAAGCAAGGAAAATGAAGTAGATTGGGAAATCACAAAGCCCTTTAAGAAAGGCATGAAATGTATAAAATGTGCTTTAAATTTTTAATGCACGTTGAAATCAAACAACTTTTTATTCCCCATAGTTATTTTACTTTTACATTTAACTATGTATATATATAGCTAAACTATATATATTTAAATTTATATACATATATATATACACTATATATAGTATATAGGCTTTGAAGACATAAATTAGAAGTAATAAGACTAAAAGGTTATTTAAGAGAATACTCAGGATCCCAAGGTTGTGAGATTTTTTTTTGTGGGTTTTTTTGTGTGTGTGATTAGTGACTAGCCATTTGTCTTCCATTTAATGATTGATTAAATCACACATATATCCAACAACTCCTTCATCAATACCACTTAAGTGCAAGATGCTATAGTTAGACCCACGAAATCCACACCCCCAAGAAACTCCATAATAACAGATTTAGAAAATACAATTCCTACTAAGTAAAGGTGAAAGACACTCCTCAATCATTGGAAAACAAGTATTGCTTCATCTTAAGGGAAAAAAATAGCTCGATTCTGACAAAAAGACATCTAATATAGTGGTCAGACCTCTATAAACCTTTCACAGGAATCAGACCTTTAAGAGTTGTTATAAGAGAGGCAAATATAATTATTTCACCCAAGAACAGGAGAGCAATGTCGCCATGAATGGGAAACCTGTTTTTGTAGATATTCACCCAGAACATAGGAACAGCACACAGAACAGAATTACAATAATATATGGAGCTGAATAATCAAATTTATTTTAAGTGGGATTATAAATCAAAAGAGAGAAATAAGTATGATTCTTAGACTTTGGGATTTAACTCAAGACGCTGAAATATTTTTGTGAATTATTTCACAATAATGCTTGGAATAATGTGATTGTGTGTGGATGTGTGGTCCCCAAAATTCAGTTGTAAGCAACGCTATTGCAATTCAGGTGGCCTTGCAACCATCCCAGACTTCATCTGCACCCAGATTCTCCCCCCGCACCCACCCCTCTGCAGGTCAGCAGGAGAAAGAGTTCTGAGTAATAGCGCAAAACGGGAGCTGCTGTGATCCGTAGTCTGAAGGGCAAGTGGTCAGGGAGCAAGAAATTTAGGGGGTAGAAAGGGAAGGGCATAGCTGGCCACAGACTGAGAATGTGGGGTAACAGGGAAAGTGAAAGGACCCCTCCCTTGCCTCCTTCTTCAGTCCCAGCCTGCCTCCCAAGGCTGATGCCCTCCTCCACCCGCCCCTCCACCGCACCCAAACCTGCTATACTGTTTCTCTACAGATTTTTTTTTTTTAAGATTTTATTTATTTGAGAGAGAGAATGAGCAAGTAAGAGCATGAGCAAGGGGAGAGGCAGAGGGCGCAGCAGGGTCACCACTGAGCAGGGAGCCCCACGTTGGCTCGATCCCAGGACCCTGGGATCATGACCTGAGCCGAACGAAGGCAGATGCTTAACCGACTGAGCCACCCAGGTGTCCCTCTTTACAGATTCTTGAGTGTGGAAAGAACACAGGAGAATTCTTCAATTCTGGCTGCTTCCCATCAGTATCATGAAAAGCCACTTATTTTGTTATTACTGCAATAATGTTTTCATTTTAAAAATCCCTTCAAGCATAAAAATAATCCACTTCCATTTGATTCAGAGCTATGTTAAATTAAATGATACCATTCTTAAATTAAATTCACTATCATTACTATTCATTACTATCACTCTCAGAGAAAGGAACCCTTTTCATTACTTTGGCAAAAAGTCAGGAGCTCCTCCCATCTCTTTTGTTGTATCAAACCACATGTCTATGGCATTGTTTAAGTTTTATTTTTGATCTATGGACCTATGGTTTAATAAAGGTAAATCCCCGGGGGGGGGTATTCAGTATATATTGTATCATATGCAGTATAATTTGCCCTACAGTCTTAGCAGTAAAAGCTGAAGGTAGGAAACAGTTGGTGGAAATAAAGGGGTCATGTGATGCAGCCCAGGGCTGAGCGTCAGATCTGTGTCTGGTCTTCAGCCAATATGGATCACCTTCTCCGTTGCAAAGTGGGGACAATGACATCTGCACAGGGTTGTGGTGGAGTGTGACAAGTTAATAAATGGGAAATAACTTTGAGGGGGGAAACGGCCTCAATAAACACACGGTATTATCGCCACGGTGCTGTACTAAATGTAGCAAACCCTTCTCGGTGATCACACTACTTACATTTCAAGGGACAATATCCAAATAGCTTGTCCGCGTCATAGTCTGCTGTGGTCCCACACCAGAGCCATCCATCTGATCGCCCAGCACTTGTACAATCTGCATACCACTTGTTTTCAAACTTGAATGGAAAGGCGCACGTTGCCCCGTTGGCATTGCCCAGCAGCGTGTACATGTCTAGAAGAGACATATTGATCGCACTTAGAATGTCAGTCAATCTTCTGGTCGGTGGCTTTCCATTAAATAAGAAGGATGCCGAAAGAATGGAGTCTTACTCTTCTGACCACATTTGAGGTCCCCACACGGGGAATTCTTTTCTCTTTCCTTTCTGTCTCTACCCCCGTCTTTTGCTGAGTATACACAGCAGTCTCTGTTAGGAACAACTCTAGTGCCACCTCATTTCTGCTCTTTTAGGACAGATTTTCCTCTTTCCTCGTGTGAGGGAAAAGTAGTCAGCTCTACTAACACCCGCCTTGACTTCTGCATTTCCCCCGAAACAGAGAAGAGGCAATTCTTCCTCTTGCTTGGAATTACAGAATGATTGAATCTCTAGAATGAAAAATAGCATTACCGCTGTGTGACTCAAACATGTAGCTAAAAGTTTAGTCCCCTCCTACCACTTCCTGTCAAGCCAGCCTCTACTGGAGTCCCTCCACAATGACAATGAGAAAGGGTCAGAATTTGGACATAACCCTCTAATCCACATCATGGAAAGGAAGCACTCAAAGCCATTGGATACCATTGACAATCAATATTTGTCTTTCTTAAAACTGAATTCAGACAGAGCAAAATGAGAAGCTCTGGGTTTACCTAGAAGAGAAAATTGAAACAAATAAAAAATCATCGTTGACTACGGTTTGGCTTAAGCCAAAGAATGAGAGAGGCTCATATCTCCACTGACAACCACACCACTCCCTTAACCACATCTCCAAAATGTTTAGTGTCTCTGACTCTGTAGGGACACCCCTGGGGAAACAATAACCTTCTATAGGGAAGTATTTTACCTCTTACCACCAGCTGATATTCAGAATTTGTCCTAGATAAAAATACTCTTTCCTTAGTTAAATTTTGTAGATTCTGTGACTTTAAAAAGTCCCTAAAAGACATCTCAAAATCCAATTTAGACAATATAAAGTTTGTAAAACATATAGCACAATACCTAACATATATTAAAATCATAATGCACGTTAAGTTCCTTACCCTTTCCTTTCTCTTTCCTCACTATACTTACCAATCCTCCTGACAAGCTAGGCTTATTTTCATTTACTGCAAAATTACTTTTTCATTGATTAGCTAGTTGTTAGGAACTTCAAAATGCAATTCTAGCTTTTGTCCCATTACGTTACAGAACCGGTTTCCCAAATTATATATTGTATAAGGAACATGCTGGATTTAGATATAATTATGCCACTCTTAATCACTGGGGTTTCTGTTCCTTCATATGAAGAAAACCTATTAAGACCACCTCAGGGCTAGTTATACTGTTCATTAAATTAGCCAAGAAATTTTCAGTGCTGGATTTATAGTTCTCAGTCAGAAATGGCCTTTTTAGGAGTAACCCGATTTATTTAACAAAGCCCTGATGAGGCCAAAAGAACCAAGTTCCATTCCAACGACTTTACTGACAAGTCATGTAACTGCAGTCGATTGTTCTTCCTCTGTGGTCCAAACTCTCAGACAACACTCAGATGCTTCTAAGTCTACAGTTCTGATTCTAGTAGTATTCTAAAATAATCCCTGGCCCCGGCCAGTTGTCTTCCTCAAGTTTTCTTTAGAGAGACAGACTCTACATAGACCCTCTCTACATTGTCTTCTGATCGAATGTGTAATCCAATGAGTAGATTCCAAGATCACTCTGAAGGGCTAGATCTTCAAGCAGGAAAATCTTAAGTACTGAGAGAGACTTGGGGAGCAGGCAAAATATGGTCAATGGACCAGCTTCATCCAACTACCCAAGTGCTCATAGAAATAACTCAATAGATTCTTAGAACTTTCCCCCCTTCCCCCATGTCCCAATTTAGCTTCTAGGTGGGAGGGGAACTTTGGTATCTTCACTTTTAACAAGCTTTCCTGGTGATCCTTAAACATATTACAGTTTGAGAACCGCTATCCTAAACCCTATGCATATTCTTCTCAAATAAGCAGGAAAACACAAAGGGTGGTGGGGATTAGGGATGGGGTCTATGTAACTTCAGTGATGTATTTTTAAATAAAATAAAAAGTCCAATGTCTTAGCACCAATCTTCCTTGTTTTGAATCCCTCAATTGGGACTACTGTCCCATCTGTGGAATTTGACTCACACAAGTTTGGTTCACTCTTTTCCTGCTAAAGTTTTCCATCAAGTTTCTCCTGAAAGGTTACTCTACTTAGGCTGCCTCACCTATAACTTCTAAACCTTCATTATGTTCAATAAATGCCTCAAAATAGCCTCTTTCTGAACTCTTCATCTCACTCTTCAATGCCTACTATTCCTCCTCTTCATAATGAAGGAAAATGGAAAGCTGACAAATTATGGCCTCACAAAGATCTAAACTCCCAAGCTCTGATTAGCTATGACAACTAGGTTCAACCAAACTTTGTAGCCTCAGTAACATAGTAATTTTGGAAACAGGTAATCTCTTATCCCAAATGGCAGTCTCTTCCTCTGACCTTGAGGTTGTTCTCGATAACACTTCCAAATGACTAAGTGTCCAAACCTGGAATGTGGTTATAACATCATCTGACACAAGGAGGCTTTGTAAAAGGCTTCAAGTTCTGTTTTGTTTGTGTTGTCTCTGCGCAGCCACCAGAGAATGAAATTTGGCCAAGATAAGAGAAAACTAAATACTCTGGTTTTATTTAACCTTCTAGAGCTTATGGAACCAACTTCATATGAAATTATTTTCTGCTCCACAGGTGCAACCACTTTCTAAAATAGCTGACTATGTTGCATGTTAACTTACAGGCCAATTTCTTAGCTTTTCTAATCTTCTGATTATTATAGTCTTTTTTTTTTTAAAGATTTTATTTATTTATTTATTTGACAGAGACATAGTGAGAGAGGGAACACAAGCAGGGGGAGTGGGAGAGGGAGAAGCAGGCTTCCTGCCTAGCAGGGAGCCCGATGCGGGGCCAGATCCCAGGAGCCTGGGATCATGATCCGAGCTGAAAGCAGACACTTAACGACTAAACCACCCAGGCGCTCCCTGATTATTATAGTCTTTTAATACCCATAAAGTGACAGAGAAACACTGAGAAACTTAAAAGATCATGGAATGCCAAGATTTCATTTTAGGCACTCTGAATTCATTTCTAAAAATTGTAATCCATAGGGGTGCCTGGGTGGCTCCGTCATTAAGCATCTGCCTTCGGCTCAGGTCATGGTCCCAGGGTCCTGGGATCGAGCCCTGCATCAGGCTCCCTGCTCTGCAAGAAGTCTGCTTCTCCCTCTCCCACTCCCCCTGCTTGTGTTCCCGCTCTCGCTATCTCTCTGTGTCAAAAAATAGATAAAATCGTTTTAAAAAATAAAAAAATAAAAATAAAAATTGTAATCCATAGTTTAAAAAAAAACTTTAGCAAAAGTTACACACACACGCACACACACACACACACACACACACAAAGCAGTCATTCCATTAATTATAAACAGCTAAAATATCATTCAGGACTTTTTACTATACTTATTCACTGTCATTTTCTCATAGAACACAGAACAGTTTAAAACACAAACATAATCAATTAATAATTCTAGCACAGGCTAAACAAGAATATGCTTATTTTCTTGAATTAGGTTCCAACTAAGAAGATGAGAAAAATTGGACAGAAAGTCAAGACATTCCATGCTTCTTACCTTCATAACCTCTAGAGCATAAATCATCTGTGGTTCCATAGACTTTCCATCTGCTCCATAAACCAGAACCCTTGTAGAGCATAATATTCTTTTCTTGTTTATTGCCATAGTTAAAAAATAAATCTTCTCCCTTGATCCCCAAAAGTGTGTCATTTTTGCACTCCCATTTCTGAAATTCGCTCTTTGGGTCACAGGCATATAGAGTGACAGCAACCCAATCTGTTTTTGATGGCACCCCCAAACATAATTTAAAAGCAACACTCATAATCCGGGATTCAGATACCCATCGGAATTTCTGCGCCTCATTGTCCTGGTTGCAAACTGCTGTTTGGACTGCACTGGGACTTAATGCTTCCACGCAGCGCTTGTGATCTTCATTATATATCAAAAATTGCTTAGTGTCTGTTTAAAAAAAAAAAGAAAGAAACAAGAAAAGATGCTTAAGTGGATACATGTGACAAAGAATATTTTAGGTCAAAATTCCCAATGTTTCCATTTCCATAAAATTTATGATCCCAGGAGAAGGTGTGAAGGGGACTCTGGGCCAGCTCAGCTCCCTCTGTGAGGGGCTGGGGATGGTGGAGGGGGCAGTCCTTGAGGCTGGAGAGAGAGACTGGGGGGAAGGCCTCTCCTGGGAGAGCACAGGGCCCCAGCAACTGGCTGGAAATCCTCACAACATGCTAGTTCGTTAGGGGGAGTATTACAAAAAGGCCTGCCTTAAATGCACACAAATTGTAGTGTAGCAAACATAAAAGGTAGAGAACAGAGAAAGAAATAATAACCATCTGAGAAAAGAAAATTTAGATATAAGGGATGCCTGGGTGGCTCAGAAGGTTAAATGTCTGCCTTCAGCTCAGGTCATGAGCCCAGGGTGCTGGGATCGAGCCCTGCATGGGGCTCCTTGCTCAGCGGGGAGTCAGCTTCTCCCTCTGCCTCTGCCACTCCCCCTGCTTGTACTCTCACACTCTCTTGCTCTCTCTCTTTCTGGCAAATAAATAAATAAAATCTTAAAAAAAAGAAGAAAATTTATATATGAATACAATAAGCTGTAGAATTAAATATATGTGTACCCTGGAATAGAATTTTGAAGTCTGATTCATCCCTACTCTCTTTGAGATAGAGGAAGCTCATATGTAATTATTCTAATTATAACATTAGCGAGGTTTTTTGTAACTTAAAAGATAATTTCATTTTAGGAAATTTTACCCTTATGTCCAGCAAATCTTTGAACTAAATGCTTTCCAAATAGCCCTGCTAGAGAAGTGTTTTATTTTGTTTTGTTTTGTTTTGTTTTGTTTTGTTTTCCCTTGCAACAATAGATAACTTAGTAATGTAGCATCTAGAGCTAAGTTAGTATCTGTTATATAACTTTAACTTTTTGGGGAGCCTGGGTGGCTCAGTCGTTAAGCATCTGCCTTTGGCTCAGGTCATGATCCCAGGGTCCTGGGATCAAGCCCCACATCGGGCTCCCTCCTCAGCGGGAAGCCTGCTTCTCCCTCTCCCACTCCCCTGCTTGTGTTCCCTCTCTCGCTGTGTCTTTCCCTGTCAAGTAAATAAATAAAATCTTAAAAAAATAATTTTAACTTTCATTTTATTGGCATACTCAAGCTAGCTTTTGTATAACAAAAAGATACAAAAACGTATTTATAAGTGTAATAATTTGTCAAGTTTGCAGTAAAGGTTAAATAAATACAAGTTTTTATTTCATTTGAGGTAATACTTATGAGAATAACTACAAATAAAGTGTTGTTTTATTCTTATAATTTGGGGCTGGTAATTTAAATAAATATGCGTAGATGGCTTATGGTACACAGTGGCTAGCTGGCAAAACTGAACTTCCTGTTGCCAAAAAAGAAGAAGAAGAAGAAGAAGAAGAAGAAGAAGAAGAAGAAGAAGAAGAAGAAGAAGAAGAAGAAGAAAGCATCTGAAAAGCATATTTTTCCCCTTAAAACTGAATTCATGTAAAGGTTTTTCCTTTTCGTTTATTTTTTTTAAGAATAGACAAATGAACGTACTTTTCATTTTACGACACAAATATCAAACATTACCTCGGAAGATCTACTAAATTCCTTCTACGTAAGTGTTCTTTCAAAATGAGCTGGTAGTACTGCAGATATTCGAGGGTCTGACTAAATTAGCTCATTATTATTTTTTTTTTAACTATTTTATTTTTTATTTTTTTTTGAACCATTCATTCATCTATTTTATTTATTTATTTATTTTTTTAATTCTTATGTTAATCCCCATACATTACATCATTAGTTCTAGATGAAGTGTTCCATGATTCA